CGGAATCCATTTTAATGTAGAATGTAGACTGTCTTGAAGCTAGTATGAATAAGTGTTTCAATCCAGGGTAAGATTCTAAGGTAAAGAGTCAGATTGGGTGTTTCAATCCTGGACCTCCCACGAGTCCGTGCATCCAAAATAGGGATTTATTGAGCACGAGTCTATCTGCGCTCATGGCTGAACCCCATCTGCGCTCGCTCCGACGGCCTGTCGGGGCCAAGTAGAGCCACACATGCACCAACCACCAACCAGGCCTCAAAAGGCAGCATTCCACCGGTGAGGTGAATTCCTGGGGTTTGTTGCTGGTTGGGTGATGTGATCTTCATCTGCTTGGGTGGCCACAAATATCGATCTGGAACTGTCCAAAGAATAGAGAACATGACGCAAGTTGGAGCGAATCCGCGTGGGAAATTCTGATCAACGGTGAGATCTGGTGAGGCCCTTCGTTGGTCGGACCAAGCTGGTGTCAGGGAACTTGAGGAACTGGTTTCGGTAGACAAATATCGGCAAGTCAATCAGTACTCCACCTTCAAATGTTGGAGGGCTCCGTTCACGGCCCATATCCGAAGGTTCGGTGGGCACTTCACGACCCCCGTGGCATCCACCCCTGTCCCACCGAACCGAAAACGGAGGTCGGCCAGGAGCCCTATGGGCCAAATGATAATGTCAAAACTCCCAAAATGCTTGAAGTACAACTCTGTGATTTGACGCTCTCACGGGGATCGGTGACGAACTACCGGCAATTCCAGGTTGACCGCCGAACTCATCAAGATTTGAGCGAGGTATCGGGTCAGTTCCCAAAGAATCCATGGCAGTCACTCAAACCCAAACACGACGAATGGGACTGGTATATTTACCTACATTGAGGGTGGGCCATGAGGGGTCAATTCATCGGCAGTCCTATGACAATCCCATGGGTCGTGTCTGGGAAATATCCACTCCCAACCTCTCCTCCCACTCTGAGATCCACGGATCCACCCTCGCTACGGCGAGCACGCGTGAACAAAAACACGGAGGGAACCGGTACCTTTGGAGGTTCGGTACGGATCCCATGGTCTGGATGAGTCTTTTGTACTCAGATGTGTTTCTGAGCTTCAAACCTGCTGAGCTTGACTAAGCACTTCCAATCCAAGCGGTCTTTTCGGCCGCAATCCCAGGCCTCTGGCGGAACAGACGCGTTGGCTGCGGGAGACATGAGTCAATGAGTAGTTGTTGACCAGGCAAAATCCCCAAACCACGGAAAAACTTACTCAGCAATGAAGCGGTTGCTACACATGATTACACATTGCTATACATGCTGTATGACTTGTGGGTGTCCAACCTGGGTTCGGTGAAGGGAAAAACAGTCTACAGTCTACCCAGCCAGGGGCGAGAAAGGGTGTCCCCTTTTTAAACATACACACCCATATATATATATATATATATGTATGCCCAAAAAAACAAACCCTCTTGTCTCTTGGGATTCCTTTTCTCCGCGGTTGGCGATCGCGAGTGGCCGTGGCCGCTGCCAAGCCAAGTCACAAAGCGAACTCAGGTGATTCTATAATCATAATCCCAAAAATGGTCCTATGAAATGATAAGAATCTAAATCCTATATGTTCCATTTCAGGCTGCCAGTTTCCAGACCTCTCCATTCTCTCAGGCCCGAGCAAAGGACCTCCCAGTAGAACACCCACCATTTCAGCCATTACGCCCTGGAAGAGATCCACATGGAACCTGAAAACCAGTGGTTTGTCGGTTCCATTTTGACTCCCGCTAGCCTTCCCAAAGGTACATGCCAACAGGTTCCATGTGGGTCTCTTCCCGGGTGTTCTTGTTGTGGTTTTCTCCAAACAAGGAAGTCAAGCCTGGCCGAATGGGTTGGTTGATGGTTGATGGTTGGTTGTCTATGTTCCCTTCCTTCAAGACCTATACTGTGGGCCGGTCAAAAAGTTGAGCCGACACTGAAACACAGTCTTGAACTAACACCGCAAAGAGGTCCAGAACAAACTACTGGTTTAAGTATCATTCATGCATTGAATGTGATCCTTGTACTTGGTTGTGCACTTTGAATTAGACTGAAAACAAATAAACACCCAAAAAAAACACCACCACCACCACGACCACTTGAGGTTCCCCAGAAATGTTGAGGCCAGCGCGGTGGGCAGGGACATCAGCTCGAGGATCTTCTCCTGCTTTTGGCGTATTCGACCCTTCCAACAGCCAACTGTGAGCCACCAAAGCTAAAGCCCACAGCAAGTCTCCTCCTCCGTAGGTAGAAAGCAATACATATATTAGATATATATATATATACATCGCAACTCTCTGATTGAGTTGTTTGGTTGATGTTCCTCTACCAGGGTCGTGAAGTTGATTTCTGGGAGTCACAGGTACAATGACTGGAGAATATTATGAACACATCGAATTTGTACTTATATATATATATCATCTATAGGGCCGATGTGGCCGATAGATCAAGTAGAACAAAAGGGGAACAACTTAGGATTTACTTAAGGAACCGGAACAAAAATCTTCCCCAGAAGGGGACTCAGCCCGTAGGGAAGACAAAAATCAGATCTGCAAAACCAGGGTAACTGTTGCATCTATCTGTTGATGATCACGACATCCGCTTCTAAAACACCGGACTGTCCTCGCCCCCGGCCCGGCCGTGGGTCCCAATGGCCCGACGCGATGCGAACCAGGTACAACGGTTCACGTGGTGCAGGTTGTTGGAACATGACTGGTGTCCTTCGGTGTCGTGCTGAACCTGACTCCATGGTGGTCAAAATGACACAGCGAACCCTCTAGCAACCCTGGGGATCCACCAAGTGTTGGAACCTCAGGTTCGGTACGACTGGACCGTACAATGGCGCCTACATAACAGTGTCGGACACATCACCTTCTTAGAGGGTATGTGATGTATGTGGATCCCTAGGGCTGATATACTAGTCAAAATGTCCTCGAATCCTAATCCCCGTAGGGTTTCGAACATGTGACGTCCATCACTACCAGGACCAGCAGCAACATAGCAACACACACACACATCTTAAGCAATGCCAGGAGTTGTTCTACATGAGGTCAAGCACCACGTAACCCACGAGTCTCCTTCCCATCGGTCCACCCCGCGTCCCATCCTTCATGGCAAACAGTTCGCCCCGCACCCGCCGCCATGTGCGCGTCCGTGCTGAGCGCTTCTCCATCGCCGCGCGGCTCGCCCGCGCGGAACGCCGCAGCGAAAAACGGAGGAACAGCGGCTGAGCCGGAGGCGCGTCAGCTCTCCCTCTAGTTTGGAAGTACAGTTGTTAGTCCATCCTGCTCGAAGGAAGCAACAGAACAAAGGTGGGATACTGAATGATACTGAATGATTTAAGATGATTTAAGCACAAAGGGCAAAGTTCGTTTTTCCCAGTTTGTGCCAGGATGTACTGTTCCTGAATGGCGATAGTCATGTAACGCATGTAACCACTTGCTGCTTCGATACCCACGTATACCATCGTATACCTACAAATACACATTGGCACACCTGTAGGTGGATGAAGCCAAACACCTGACTTGCCACAGGCCACAGGCTATGCCTGTAAGACTCTACAGCTAGAGAAGCACAATATCTCTTCGGACACGAAGGGATACGGCCTAAAGTCGATCAATGTTCCAGTTTACGCCGTTTCTCAATACCCAGACACTCCATGTCTGTCATATATGCCTACATTGACCCCTCAAACCACCCCAATGTAGGTAAATAATGGTAAATATATGTAAATATACCATACATGGAGTGTCTGGGAAATTTCATGTCCATAAACACAACAGCCGAACAAGCTACCTGAACAAACTACCGTGTCGCCTTCCAAAGCCACGTCGATAGATACTGTATGTGGGTTGCTACTTTTGGGATAGCCGCTACTCCAACACAACAAAACACGTTGTCATACAAGTTCCTCGCGCAACTCCCTCGCGCTTGTTCTTGCAAGTCCAAGACTCATCTGAAAATCACCAAAATCCCGTAGGTTGACATGACCGCGCTATGACCGGTAGTTGCTTCATATTGTTTCAAGGCAACCTGTTCCCCCCAGTGTGGACCCATCCGAAGTCCCCGCTCCAACCAGAAGGAGCTTGCCCGTCCTTCCCGAAGGAGCTGTTGCTCCTGAAAAAGGAGGGTCCATGTGCAAAGGAAAAGAACACAAAGAAACTGCAAGACCATGCGTGTTTCAGTCTGGTGCCAAAGAAGAGTCGGAGCGTGGAGTCCCGTTCTGAAACTTGTGAATCAAACTGTGTGTTGATGATTCCGGTGATGAGGAACCAGGAACCAATATGAAGCATCTGGGTTGATATAATGCATCATGCGTCTTGTTGGTGAATGTCTCCCGGCCTCAGTTGGGGTGGTAACAACATCGCCAAGTTCATGAGATTTTGTGGGTGTTCAACATGAATGTTGTGACCGAACAATTCCAAAGAACACCCATGTCTTGTCTCAGTTCTGTTAATGTAGTTTGAACCCAGAACTTGACATTTGCTTGGTAGTCTTCAAGATCCCTGGTCGACCAGTTGTGTGAATGTCCATTGAAACATCTCGCTTGTATGCATTCGGAGAACAAAACTTGAAACCAAACAGAAACAACAACAACAACAACAACAACAACATGGTGACGTGGAGTTTGGTCAAGAAAGACAATGAGTCGCATCCAAGCTTGATCTACAGATATCTACAGTCCGGCCAAACATACAAACTATAGACATCTAATAAATCAAATCAAGGATGCGCTTAGACGTAGAGGAGCAAGGAACTCTTTGATCGATCGTATGCACCAATAGGTTCCTTTGAGACACCACCGGGGTGTGTGCCATCTAGTCATCTAGTCTGAATCCACCACATAGCCATGAACAGTCCCTTCTCCTAAGACCGATGGCCTCCACCCAAGAAGCGATGGCCTCCAACCTAATAGCGATGGAGCAGAATTGGTATATACTTGAATCGGTATTTACGAACCTGACCTCTGAAGAAATATACTTGATTGAATAGCCATGAACTGAACAGCCCCTTCTCCTCGAGGCAATAGGCACAGTGCAGCGCACGTACGGAAGCATGCGCCGACAGCCTCAGGGCAACCGAGTCTGGTCACCGGAGGACAAAACTCCCAGGACCTTCCAAGTCCGGTCTTTGGTCATGGTTAAGTATCATGACCATTTCAATGTGTATCTCTTCGTGGCATGGATAGGATGCCAACTAGAAACACTTGTTCACTGTTATCTTGTGTTTATTCTGGGGTTCCTTTCCACTGTTTCCTTGCTATTGGCTCCTAGAAAAGCATGAGACCAACTGCATTATCCAATGGAAATTGCTCCAAAACACAAGACGCTTAACGACAATGATACTCTTTCAGCGGTCAGAAAAAATGGCGTGAAAACGTCCATTCATATCCTTGCATGATGTTTTCGTCGCACTCCGGATACTCGTCCAAGCACGGTGGCAAGCCTTTTGTTTAGACCGGCGCCCTGCGCGTTTTTATCGGATCTCTCTCTCTTCGTCCCTGATCTTTGCCTCCACCCACATCGGTTTCGTCTCCCGCATCTCTTCCCCATGCAGTGAGGCCACTCATGGACACGCTGCGCCAATGCGGTGAGCAAGTGTTCCACCACCTCGGTCCGATCTGCGGGCACCGAGGTCAGCGAACGGCGAGGCATGTCTTTTTTCGGCCTCGCCTCGCTTCGGGAGCTGCTGGGAAGAGGGTGCCAAAACACATCGACCGGTTTCTGTCTGTCCTTGTTGGTGCATTTGGTTGGAACCTCAAAGTGGACACCGAAACGGAAAGGGGACTGCAGTTGGCCAAGCTGCCACGTTTGCTGCCCCTGAAAGGGGCTACGTAGTATGACATTTAATTGACAAATGTATGGATTACGAGCTTTCCTTACATACAAATGGATACAAATGGTCTTATCTACATGCTCAAGAATGACAGTGCTTGGACAATGGAGAGTTCCGACTTAGATGTCTGGGAGTTCTTCATAGGCCACATCGTGTTCCAATGGTTTGAGCTTTTTCACAGCCTAGTGAACATACGCATACAGCCATATGTACAGCCATTTCTTGTCCACCTCCGCGAATATCCCCTACACCTCCAACCATATCCTCAGAAGGTGGTTGAACCCCTCAAGCCCACCCCGACCACCTTCTGAGGAGGTATTTGGAGCCCTAGACTCCCATCGTGACACGTGACGTCCTTCAAGGTGATCATTGAACATGCATGCCCACACGGATCAATAAATCCTACATATCATCAATTGCACCGTGTGGTCTTCATGGAGGTTGCCAACTGACTGCTGAAGAGTCACAACATCTGCCTTCCCTTGATGGGTTCCCAACGGGCGCTGTGGACGCCAATTCTGAATCATTGAGATTGCAATAAAAACTAGACCCACGTGGTCCTTCTTTCCCCCATTCCTGGGATCCACCACAAAGAAAAACACGCATGGAACATGGATGTCCGATTGATTGACAATGATTCTGTGTCGTACCCCCCACCTAGTAACAGTTCAAACATGTTCAAACACACACTAGACTATACCAGGACCCTCCAAGGGGTGTCCAATGAACTACCCAACACTACCTATAGGCTTCCATTGGGCACCCCTTGGAGGGTCCTGGTAGTCATGCAGGACTTTTTTAGTGCAGGGCACTCATAAACCGGCATGGCTTGTATGGGCAACATACAGGGTTTAGGGTTTAGGGTTTCAGTTACAGCAGGGAAACCTGTATCTCTTGACCCACCGCGAAATGAACAAGTGTCAAAACTGCTGGGTGATGGCAATTTGCAGCGCATTTTCCATATGGGACCGCCTAACAGCCTCTGTTTGCACTCCTGCCTCCATCGATTAAATACTGCCGACCACCAGCTGACCACCCAAACCCTTGGAAAAACCAAGAGATGTTTCTTTGGTGCCCGTCAATAGGACCCGTCGCCTAGGGTACCGTACCTACGAACGGACCGTCTTTTTGGGTGTCTTCAACCTACATTCACTCGCGGACCGCTTCGGACGATGCCAATCCTATGTGGCCGCCATCCATCGGTCCGTAGTGTTCACCAACAAAAACACGTGGAGGGCGAGGGGCTCTCCCCCTGAAACACATACAAAGGCCAAGCAGCTGGTCGCGTTGGATGGCATTCTTCGCCTTCGATTTGGAGTACTTCGCCTTCGATGGCGTTCTTCCAGCGACACCGACGGTGAAAACGCCACCGTCGGTGACTGGTCGAGGCGATAGCCGTGTCACACAGCAACAGGATACCGTGGACAGGATGCCGTGGGGGCAAGAATTGGAGCTGCACGGTTGAATTGGCACATGTGGGCCTTCACATTGCCCACTTTGTTTGGGAACAAACAAAAGAAACCTCTTTCATGCCGCATGCCTTCATGTCTGGCTTGAAGCGTTCATCGTGCGGAAGAGTTCCATTTGCCAAATAGCCCAGATAGGACAGTTCAGCGAAAACTTGACACTTCCTATATAGGAGTACCTCAGGAGTCCTGATGGATTCGACGGATTTCCCGGAGACTCGTGGACTCGTGGACTACATCCTCCTCCTCCCACGCTTGTTCAACCGCCGAGTTGATCCGATCCGCCGGCGGCCTGGATGAGTCCTTGCAGGTTCCGACAAGTACAAAGTGAAGGCCCTGGGCGGGTTTACTGGACCCCCCCAGGTCTTCGGGACGGTGGTTCTTCGCGTTCGGTCTTTCGAAGAATGTGGATTTCTCATGGACGTCCGCTTGACTCCTGTGTTTATTTCTATGTTTTTTACCAAAGAAGTATGAGAATAATGAGAGCGGAACATTGAATCACGGTCGTTTGTAGAGAAAAGTCATCTTGCTATCAACACATTTAATGTTTTTTGAAAAAGCTTTGGTGGGCAATGGAAAAAAGGGTTCGTTCAAGGCGTTGCATGAACTATAAGAACGAACCAACATGGACCAAGTCGTAAAGTGAAACCTTGGTGATTGGTTGAGGAGGTGATCTAGAATCTATACCAAGATGTCAACCTCTTTCTACCGACTCCATGGTGTCGATGACAATCACTAGAAGTACCGGTTCAATCGGCGAACATCGATCGTATCCAGTGAATTGATCGCCAAACAGCGTTCGCATGGTGGTCACCTGTAGGGGGATGGAATGTAGTGTTTAAGGTCTCAAGGACATCTCGACATGTTGGAAGATGGGCATCCATTGGGTCTATCCCAAACACCCAGGGCCCAGTGGATGATGACCGTTCTTAAAACATATCTTTAGACATGGTGATACTTGTTTAGCGACTGCCGACTGTTACAGGTAATAAATAGAGCAAACCCAAGTCATCCATGAAATTGGGGAGTTGAGTTCACATTTGATTCGAACCAGAAACAGCATGCAGTGCAAGTGTGGAGATTCTGGCAGCATTGTGTCAGGTGGCATCTGTCCACAAGTCCCAACTTCTCACAGAACCAACTCCCTGCAGGATCGAAACAAGCAAGTGTGGAGACCAACAAGCAAACATGGTAATCTATGGATGACTGTGGCACATATTTGTTGTGCTCCATCTGTTTTTTTCCCGCGGTGAGTAGTACCCATGACACTTCCAGTAGTAATTAGTACCATGTGTGATTCTTTTGTTTGCCGTGCCGAAAAGGTGCAAACCATTACCCCCCTAATCACACAAGGCGTTCCGTGTGCCTTCATCCATTCCACTTGAGAGAGGAGGGGGTGAACGAAAGGTAGCAGGCAATCACAAGTAACCCTGGTAGAAGTCCATGACGGCGTGAACCGACGCAGGGGGGATTTGATCCAGGGGCCCCCCCCCCCCGACGAACAGAATCAACTCTTACAGGACCAAACTCAATGCACAATCCCAACTCCTGATTGTAATACATTTTTGCTAAAGCAAGGAGAACTCAGGTAGCTCAAGCTACCTTTCGTGACATGCGTTTTTTTGCACGCAAGCAGTTTCTGTGCACGCGCCATTTAAGTTGGTTCACCAAAATGATAGGCCAAGAACCCCTTCACAAGAGATTCCGAGACACTTTATCACATGGTGGATCTGAGGTTTCTGCATGCATTGTTCTGGAGGGGGTACTGACGAACCCACAAACCGCAGTACGGCTCTCAAATTCTGATGAAAACGAGTGGTCTGACCTCGTCTGGAAAAGAATGGACACAGGGACGCCTAAGGGCTCAAACAGGGACACTGCGCCTGTGTCTCCCTGTGTCTCCGAACGGCTCCCTTTTCAGGAAAAAGGATACCCCGGCAACCCTTAGTCGCTCCCTTCCAACCACTGGCTAGCAAAGGTCTTGCTTCTTCGCCGGTTGTGCGTATCATGAAGTTAGAGCAGTGAACTCCCATTCTAAACAACACATCTTATGTATATACATATACTGTACTTACTATATGTTTTACTTGCATCATCATCATCATCATCATCATCATCATCATCATCATCATCATCA